TAGGGAAATGTGTCCTCACAAAGGTTCATCCTAACGGCTAGAGATCAGGTTGAATGCCTGGAAGAGGAGATTTTTAGCCTTCCCCCAAAAACTTGCTGTTTTACATTAGTTGTTATAAGCCTGAATAACCTTCCAGTCCATGTAAATAGTCACTCCTGGAAACTCTGCCTTCGATGACTTCCTGTGGCAATGAGTTTGATGGTCTAATGACCTGCACCTACCGCATGAACAAAGCGTTTCCTTTGCTCAGGTTTGACTCTGTCCCCTTCCACTGACAGCGCCCTTGTTCTTGTGATGTGCCACGGGGAAGGCAGGTTGAACACCCAGCTGGGAGAACACCTGAGCTAGCAGAGGGTTGATCTTGGTTGGGCTCATCCCTAGCCAGTGAAGACTGGTTAGCTAAGGCACTGGGATCTCTCTTCCACTGGAAAATCACCCAGTTAGGGGCCTCAGATTACATTTCCAAGCACAGGCACAGCTGGAAGTAGCAAAAGCACCCAGGTTATGCCCCTGCTAAGGTACTGCCTTTGCTGGATCCTACCTGGAGTCTCTGCCTTGTTATTGTAGAGCTCCAGCCTTTTGGCTTGGCCAGAACACAGTGGGGCTGTTCACCCTAACAACAGGTTAAGGGCAGGGTGCTCCGTGCTAAGACCATGAGCTCTTTGGGGCAGGGATGAGGACTCCCCACGGTGGTATCCAGAACCAGCCCCTTTGGGACTTGACCTCAGTTGAATCAAAACACATCAGCCTTTCCCCTCTTGAACCTGGTAGGCATTGCAGGGCCCTGTTGGAAGCAGCTCACCTGTTCCGGATTTGATCCAGCCTCTCTTGCATGGCTTCCTCTCTCATGTCACTCTGGACACGATAGACCTGGGTGCGGCTGCAAGGACAGCGGGCGTCTAGTCGGACACACTTCTTGACAACTGTTGCTCGATTGCCAAGAAGCGGCCAACCATTCCACTCCAGACCAGCACTGGGAAGATTCCCAGTCCTTACATGAACCCTTCAGTCTATAACCGAGGTACCGCCCCAATGGCAGGACAAGGAACTAACCTAGGAATGACCCAAGAGTCAGTCTGTGACCTCCAAAATAAGCAGGCTCCTCACCATCATGTTAAAGCCTGATGGAAGTCCTACTAGAGCCCAGGAGGTCTGAGTTGCTGTGTAATGACTGAGTGGGCATGGTCGCTTCATGCTGTGGAAGGTCCTGGCTTCTCCCTCTCTCTGTCCTAATACACTGCTTTATAAGGAAGAAGTTAAGCTCCTGAGCTCTGTGATGAGCCACTGCCTGCACTGGGCATGATCTTTGACCAGTGGAAATCAGCACAGCCCCATCAAGCTTGTGGTGCTGATATGCACCCTGGGAGGAGCAAGTCCTTTGGTCCAGTCCCAAGCCCATTCAGCTCCCAATGAAACTCATTACCTTCTCTTTGCCCTCCCTCACTTCCCTGGGGGAGCTTGACTCCAGCACAGCACCTCATGAGCCAGGCCAAAGAGTTTCCACGAGGATGAGTACAAGGACTTTACCTCCATCGTATGAACTGGACCTTTGTTCTCCCGTCCGAAAGAGAATGGTTAGATGCCGCCAACTCCGGCAGTCTGCTGTTAGAGACTTGAACCATCTAAGAGCAAGAGGGTAAAGCAAAGCCAATTACTGCCAGCAGCATCTCAGCCTGATGGGAACTGGGATGAAGCTCAAGTCTTCACCAGATAGACAGCCTGCTTTACAGCCTACTTTCACAGGAGGCTCGCTGCACCCTCGTGTGCTGCTTTCACAGTCCCACTACTCAGAAGCTGCTTGCCAAGACTGCATGGATCATGCTCTGGAGCACAGGATATGCCAAACCTCTGCTCCAACTGCCTGATATTACACATGGGAATGTAAAGCCACTGGTGCTTTATGTGCAAGAAAAGCCATTTCTTTGCCTCTTGTGTCTCTATGGGCCTGAAGTCAATGGGAGCCTTTCGCTTCACTTGCGACAGGCATCCTGCTACGGGATGCTTCAGAAGAAGGTAGGGAAACAGAATACAACCAGCGACTTTGAGGTAAAGCTGCCCAGGCAGAGAGGCTAGTCCTTCCTGGCCCAGTCAGATCAGCCTGTCCCCTTGTAGAAGGATGACTGCTTAGCCCCTTAGACGGGTCCAAGCCGACTGCCAAGGGCCAGGTTTCCAGCCCACAAGCATCCTTCTGAGAGTAGCTGGGGAGGGGGGTGCAAAGGGGACACTTGTGAAGATCTGGCCCTTATATTCATCCCAGAATGGAAATACCTGTGACCTGGTCATTCCTGTATCAGCAGGGCCCATCCTGTTTTCTGTCCCGTTTTCTGATCTGGTTTCTGACCTGGTTTCTGCTTTGCCTTCCAATTTCTGCTTAAAGAGCTTGGAAGCTTCTTCTTCGATCTGAAAGGGAAGCAAAACCAGCCATACCCTTTTTGGGCAGCTCGGCCCGCAACTCACCAAGGGGATCAGAGCCTAGAGCACACTGGGCTTGGCTACACGTAGCCTTTTCAGAGCGGGATTAGCCCCAAATCGCCATTTTTAAGGCACATTCAGGGAGCATATCCAAACGGGTGCGCCCTGAATGCACCTTAAAAATGGTGATTTTAGGTTAATCCCACCTAAATTTGATACAAGTACCTCATTTAGGCGCGATTAACTAAATCGCATTAACCCATATGTAGATGGTTAATGTGCATTAACACCGTGTGCGTCAATGAACGCACACTGCATTCATGTGCATTAGCGTGGCTACACATGGGCTAATGTGACTTAGCTACGCGAGTCTAAATGTAATGTCCCTTAATGCGCACTAGTGTGTCTATGCATAGACGTGCACCTAAATGGCCTTAATGTACCTTAAACAAAGGCACATTAAGTTTAGCAACACATAACTACACACGCACACACTCCCACCGTGTAGGTGAGAGACCTCCATGGCTATTGCACCCCCAGAGCCTGAGACTGGAATTGGAGCCCCCTGCTTACTGCCAGGTACCATCCTAGCTTGGTACCATAAAGCAGCGCGACTTGCCGGATCAGGACCATACACAAGCCTTTCCTGGCTACCATTCAGCTGGTTGCCCTGGAGGGTTTGACCCTTCATTGCATTAAAGGCTGCAGTCCCGGCCCTTGCACTGCACTAGCCCAGGATGGGGCATTATTCTGCCACAACCGTCTTTCGCATAGTAAAGGGTAGTTAGCAACGTGATGCTGAGCCAGATGGTTACACTTTCCCGTTGTTGTCCAAGTGCCCGGGCCTTACAACCTCAGTGCCCACCAGGCACCTTGGCATTACATCCAGTTACCTTCCCTTCTAATGAACAGGTCAGGCTCAAGCCTTCGCCCCAGGGCCCCTCTGATAAATGCCTGCTAAATCTTGGTCTCATTCCACCCTCCCCCAACATTAGCATCTAAGGGCCCAAGCACCACACAGAGGGGTTTCTCCTGCTCAGCTTTTTGGCACTCAAACGTTGTAACAGGCTCCCCTCTGCGACTGTCCTGGTATCTGAGCATTAAAGGTCTGTCCCCGATTCAGCATCCAGGCGATGGACAGCTTTCATGGGCTTTGGCAACCTCACTGCAGATGTTGTACCCTGCCTGGGTCACCTTGCTGAGGCGCTCACTCAGAGATGGGCAGGCTCTCCTCACCTTCCTCAGCCAGTGCTCCAGCACAGACACCGTCTCCATCTCCATCACTTCAGTATCCTGAGACGAGCAAGATGGGGTGAGTCTGGCTTTTACCCCTGGTATTCCCCACCAGGGCCCTGCAACACAGCCAGACTATACTCCTCCCCACTTTTACCTGAGTCTTGCAGGCTGGGAGCGGGAAGCCAGCTACTTTACGGGCCATGATATATGTGGTCCACAAGGAAATAATCATCCTAGCGCACCTTCCCCCGGGAGGCGAACCCTCCCTCAGGCCACCTCTCCCGTGGGACCCCGGTGGCCACTGCAGTAAGAACTCTGATGTCAGAGCAGCTTTATTGCATCACGTGGCTCCAACCCGCAGCAACCGCCGATGAAGTAACAATGGCACAAAATACCTCACCAGCCCGTCTCCTCCACTGGCATGACCAGGCAGGGAAGGGGAACCCGCGTGTTCACAG